GCTGCCCCTGCTGGGCCTTGCAGCTGCAGGTCATTGGAATAAAACAAATGGAGCTTGACCTATGATCTATCATGCTTGGCACACTAAATACAAAAAGGGTAAAATGGTTGTATTAGGCTTGATTAGGTCTGGTTTGGATTAAGGCTGTCAAATCTATGTCTTTGCTAATGGTTTTGTGAGCGAAAGGTTAGAGCAAAAACATCCAAGCCTGAGCACTACATGTACTGGTATGATAAAGCATATTAAAAGATTCACTCAGTCTGGGCTATAGCCAAAGTTCACTGAAGTCCATGGAAAATGTCCACTGGCTTCAGTACCTCAGGGGGCTTCAGATCAAACCCTCTATGAGCAACAGCTGAAAATACCTTGATGCATAAAAGCAGGAATTCTAATACCCAAATTACAAATAAAATGCATTAAAAGACTTTAACATTACAAAGTCAAGTGCTTAAAAGTTAGATTGTACTGAAATTAAGTCTGCCTGTGCAACTTTAATGCACTATCCTTGTGTTCATGTTTAAAATATCACCTTTACTTACATACTTTTTTTCCCATGGGACTCTTGCCTCACCACTGAAATAATAGTTATTCAATATATTATTTTCTCTTCTGAGATCAGTGTATAACCCTGTGCTTTATTTTTTGCACATCATTCAACTCTTATTCTGAATACATAGTTATTTCCTTGTTTCACAGTCTTTTCTGGAGCTCATCACTACAAAACCTGAGTGCTTCACAAATCTTAATGCATTTATTTTCACAATGCTTCTCTCAAATGATATGGCATTATTATCCCTGTTTCACGGAGGGAGAACTGAGACTCAAGGAGTGCCAGGTTATTTTCAGCTGTTGCTCAAGGTGAAAAGTGTCTGCTAATTTTAGGTGAGATCAAATGATTAGGCTCTGATTTTTTTCAGAGTACTTAGGGTTATAGTACTTTATATTTTCGAAGCATAGCTTTTGTCAACATTAGTTATAGCTGGGAGTTCTTGACCATTCTACATATCTGACTATAATGGCTCAATTTGGACAACTAGCAAATGAAGGACACAATAAGTGGTCACTTGTGAAACATTTGGTTTAAGTTTCTAGTGTCACCTAAGCATTCTGTGGCAAGCAGGATAGGATTCAATTCTCCAGGGTGCTACTGAACTGCCTTATCCCGAAACACTCCTTTCTCTTCCTGCAGTCTCCTGTTTCATTCTCTACACTTCATCCAGAGGTACTCTACCATTCCATGTCTAACTTTCAGGTCCCCAACTCTGTGAATAGAATTCACAAACCTCAATCATGCACCTACATTCCCTATACTGTGGTTGGGATGGGTGCCTAACACTGGGATTCACAATAGCAAACATGATGAATGCAGGACACCTGGGACAGGCAACATAGTGGTGAAGAGAGAGGTACATCTAAACTCCGACTTCTCTCTTAGATAAGGATATCTACATGAAGCCTTATATTAGGGGCCTATGGAAGTCTAGGATCACAGACTGAAAGTGCTTTCTAGACTTGGGCAACTAAACAGTCCTGTTATGGATGGACAATTGGCTCCCTCTTTTTGGTCGTAGTGATTGCTTGTTAGTGATCTTGCCCAGGAAGTAGAAGTCCTGGGTTCAGGCCTTCAGCATAATGGGATTCAAACCTCCACTTTCCAGGAGAATGACCTTATCATTAGACTATAGACTGGAAGTAGGGCAAGGGAGGGACATTCTCTACTCATTCTAGTGAAGCTGGGCCACTGTGATAAAAGAAATACAAGAATCATGAGGGCAGAGAAGGAGAGTAAGCAAGAGGCAGCTTACTCAGTAGTCTAGTAAATATGGCTCTCCCTAGAAAGGGAAGTCTTGGATTCTAGTCCCTGTGCTAGGAACTGCTTATGCATTTTGTACTAGATAGTCATTGAATAAAATGCAGAACTAACATTGGGAGCAGACTGATACCCAGTACTTCCTCTTCCCAGAGAAATGCCCTCAAACTGGGCTACAGAATTATTTTTATTCTTGCTGGCTCCATGAATCTTGCATTTCCTTACACACAGGGACCCAGTTTTGGCAGGAAGGGTGGAGAGTGTCTGCACTCCCCATCTGCTTGTATAACTTTATAGGTAGGTCACTGTCCTGGGAAGTGTGTGATTGAATTTGATTGCCTTCAGGCTTAAGTGGGCATATAACCCACGTTATAACTTCCTGTTTTAACCACTATACTATACTAAAAAGGGAGGCAATACCATAGGTTGTGTTTTTATAGGAAGTGAGTGATAGTGAGTGAGTGAATATTTTGTGCTGAGCTCAGTCTTGGCAGGTATATTAGGTGTGGTCAGTGCAGGCTTACCAGACTGGGCCCCTCAGGGACAGGGATCTCTAGTCTGTGAATCTCAAATGGGATTAGGCATGATAGGCACACAATGCTCAATCCAGTTCTGGATATATGTAGTAGCAAAACTTTAGGTACCTTAAGTCAGGTTTCTGATGAAAACTGGTTTCTATGCCTTGCAGGCATGTAGTTATTAGGGAGGTTTTTATGGATCCCTCTCTTGGATTTATGTGCTTAAATCCTACTTTGGGTGCACTTTAAGTACTTAAATCCTATTCTGGATCTTGCCTTAACTGATAGCAGTAGTAAGCTGTCATCTTCTAAGGGGACAAGACACTAGTGATAGATGAGGCACACACTTTGCCAGTGGCTTTCACATATTTCTGCTGACAGCAGAGGAATGTTGAAAATTAGAAATCTTGGGTCTTAGTCAGGATTCTGGAGTGAAGTGATCTCTTGTGGTCACATGACCCCTCTGCCCTAATCCCCCTAAATTTGACCTTTTCTGCCCCTGCCCCCTTCAGGAGTAATTTTGCTGAAACTTTCCCCCAAAAAATCAGCCTAAGGCAGACATGTCACATGCAAATTTCAGCCCAAATGGTTAAAGTTTGCTTAATTAATAAGCAACTGAGAAAAAGTTCTTTTAAGGGCATGTCAGACAAACTCAACTATAACCTACAGTGCCAGTTTATCTTATACTGTTGGGTGTAACGTGCAGCACGAAAATTATTACTGATTATAAATTGCCCTTGTATGGCACTCACTGGGAATTTGAAACTCCAAATAGCTTACACTACACAGATAGGGTCCTTCAAAATGAAAATTAGCTCTTTACTTAAATCTGGATTAGAAAATTTGAATAGAATTCCATCAGAGTTACCTTTAGAGAAATATAAATTCACAGAACTGTTATGTAAATATTATTTTGACTGAAATTATCATATAATTTGCTTCTGGAAATACAGCAGACACTATGATATAGGTAAGGAAAAACTGTTTGTGTTAATTCCAGCCAGGCATCTTTCTTGTAATGTCTCCATTTTGCTCAGAAAAAGATTATTATAGACACCAAAGAGGCTGCTTGAAACCAAGTTGTTCAACCCACTGCAGCTGTAGAGATGGTATATGCCTCTGTAGCCCTAGGAAAATACTGCTTATTTTTCATTTATTGTACACATTGGGTGCATCTACACAAGACATTTACTGTCCAGTAGACTGATTAGCTGTGCAATAAATGTTTTGGGATCTACACATGCTTCCTTATTAGGCTGGAATAAACTAATTAACGCTGCAGCAGGATAGTAATTGTAAATACAAGTACTATTCTGCTTTGGAGTGAAAAACTCAGCAGCAGTGCACAGGTAGACTGCCCAGCTGGCTGGGGCACATGGGTGCTTCAGTGCGGGGGCTGCCTGTTATCTAGCCCCCGCACTGAATACTGTGGTGCCCTGGTCAGCCCCTCTGCAGCACATTCAATTGAGGGGAGGAGCCTCGGGCTGGCAGGATGACCCCCAGGACCCTCTGCTAGCTAAGGCTGGTCCAACATGGCTCAGTGTGCTGCAGGACCAGGTGCATGTTCAAATGGCAATAAACTCCAGTTTATTGCTTTGCATTAACTGCACATGTAGATGCTTCCACTAAGAGCTATCACCTCTACATTTTACTTTTCATGTTTGACAGTAGACTGGTATTTATACAGTGGAAACCAGAAAATCTTTTGGCTCAGTCTACAAGGTACTTCTCAGTAGAATTTGTTAAATATTCTAACTAAAGATTATCCCTACAGAGACTCTACAGCATCTTGAGCAGGAGGTCATCTATTGCTCTGTGTCTAAACAGCACCTAGCACAATGAAGGGCCATTGCTTAGTCCTCAGGTAGTATCATAACAACAACAAGGACAGTACTGTTGTGTGGCAATTAGCAAGGAAACTTGTGCTGCTACTGCCTTTGTTGTACCCATTCTGTGGATAAAAATAGTCTGCTCTCCTCTGGCACCATTTGCAAGAACTAAATTCTTTTTGTGCATTCATAATATCAGTACTTAGTTTTAAAGTTCATTTTATAAGAGTTAAAACTTTTAAAATAGAGACTGGAATGCAAACAGAATATTTGAAAACCCTAAATACAGTGTAAGCCAGACAAGTTAAACAATAGCCTACAACAAGAGTTGGCAATTCCTGGCATGGGTGCCGGTGTGTGGCACGTGCATCTCAGAGCAGACAGCAGGTAAAGGGATGGTGTGGTGCTGCCACAACAAGAATCACATCCCTTGGGACTCCCTGCCATCCATCCCAGGAATGTAACATCTTACAAATCAAGGTTGCAGGTGTTTTTGACACTGTGCCCAAAAACACTGCCAAGCTCTGCCCTACAAGTTATATGGTTCTTGCAGAATTAGTCGTAAGGAGATACAAACCATGTAATTGTCATGCCACATTCCTACCGTTGACATTAGAAAGTTTCAGCATGAAGAGGAGTGTCAATAAAGTGCATGTTTCTTTTCTAAATAAGCTACTGGGATAAAAGTGGCAAGTAGTGAACTGGAGGATGGGGCTGGCGGGAAGAGAGATTGAAGAAATAGAAGTTCCCATAGGCAGTTCTTACATTTCCTGCATAGATATGCCAGACTGGCACTGTGTCTAATATAAGTCCTCAATTTCAAAGAAATCCAAAGGTTTTAACAGCAGCTTGGGCCCCAATATGATAACATTCCAATTTAAGCATGTTTGATTTTCTCATTCAGTCACATCAAGTCATCTCCTTTGGGTTTGCACTGAAACATCTGAGAACATGTGCAAATGGTTTTCTAAATAAGAAACAGCATTTTCCTCTGTGCATGTACTCCTAGGACAGGGAGGAAGAACAATTAAAAACTGCCCTTGCTCTCTGAGATGTAAGAGAGAAAATGGGACAGGGACATGGCTAGGGGAACGACTTATTCCTCCATCCAGTGGTTGGCAGAAAGCCTAAGTCCTAGATTTGCGAGGAGCTGTCTGGGGGAGGGAAACATCTTTACACTAGATGTGGAACAGGAGAGCCCTGAGGGAGGGTTGGAGAGGTGCCCAAGAATGAGAGCAGCATGCTGTAGTCACTGGCTCCAGTCAGCCTCTCTTCTACTTTCATGTAGCTACTTCTAATGCCATTAGATTTTACAAAGTTTGTGAGTGTGTGTGTGTGTTGTTTACAAAAGTGTCATTTTTGGCTTAGATGACCTGACAATATGCCTTTAGCAGATTCAATGTAAAAATAAACTTGCCCTATTTTTTTAATGTAAAACAAAACCAGATTGAGCTTTTACACTTAAAGACCTAACAAAATCATAAAAGTGAATTATGGGGTGAGAATCACTCTTTAAAGGAGAGCTTTACACTGGAGTAAACTTGGAATAGGAGAACGTTTATACATAAAATATTACATATAACATTCATATGTATAAAATTTGCTGACTGGCCAAATTATGTATTCCTTTCGCTGCTTATTATGTTAGATATTTGCATTTGAGTAAGTACTCTCTCTTTCACATAAGCCATTCTGTTCTTGATCTTGAAATGAAATAACAATCCTCTTGCATTACAGATAGCATTATTTTATGCTATAGTCACAAGTCTGTGATCGTGTATGTGAAACACCTAGTAGTTCATAAATACAGTATTAATTACATGGAACATGGAAATTTTATATTTCTTTCCTAACCTACATTGGGAAATAGTCAAAACAATTCAATTCAGGAGAAAAAAGGCTTTTTCCTTGCAGGAAATTCAGTATCTGAGGGTCTTCTTTCCTAACTTGGCAAATGCACACTGCAATCATGTGGCAGTCCCTTAATGCTATCACACAATAACATTTACAGCAAGGGTGTTTAACTCATAAGGCTCTAAGGGCTGGGTAAGTTGCATAGGGCTGGTCTGTGGGTCAGACTGGCCCCACAGACCAACTTTCCTTCCCTTTTCCCCCATGATCCCTGGCCCAGTGGCTGCTCTAGCTGGTCTGGGACCCACACTGTGTGGTGTGGATCTGGGAGTGGACAGAACTGGGGTCGTGTGCGTTGCAGTCTGGCTGGAGCAGCAGCCACACTGCATGGAGTGGCTGCTGCAGTAGCTTTAGGATTGAGCCATACATGTTGCCTGGTCTGGACAGTCCAGCAGTGACTCTCCCAGGAGGAACTGAATGTCTGTACCTGGCATGAGAGAGCAAAAACCCTATCATAATATCTTTATAGGTTGCCATCACAGTGAGATGCGAGTCTTAAAGCAGAATACATTTAAAGAAATGCAAACATCTGTGTTAAATGGTAGCTTCCAGCAGTACACATGTTTTTCTTAGATTTCAGAACTTAGTAGTATCAGTGGAAATGAAATAAAATGTCTGATTACAGTGCTGAAGTCAGCAGAGGAAGGAATGCAACAGAATTTTATTCTTTTTCCTGAGAAAGAACTCTCATAAATCATTAGTGATACATTTAAAAGGAGATTACAGTCATGGGACTAACTATTTTTCCTGTCCACCAAAAGAATAAAAAAGAAGATATTGAATTATGAACAATATGAACTGATATCTGTGCTTTTATGCTTATCTAGGCCAGTTTTATAAACATCAAAATGATCTGCATGACGTTGTTCAATCTCTTAGACTTCTGAGCACTTTAAACAGCATGTGGTGAATAGAAGAACAAAAGAGATGTTTTTAGGAGACAAAGTTTTTAGGCTGGAAATTAGAAAAGTTATCTTTAAAGCATTCAGTGCTTCTAAACACAGAAAAGTGGCATGAAAATGGCTTTAGATATAGATTGTCAAGTTCTACTGTGTCAAATGAGAAGAAATATAGATTTGCTTTTTCTAAGTACATCTTTCAGTTACAAACTAATCTCATTCACATTTTAGATCTTGCTGAAATCCAGATACTAAGAAAGTGTTAATTAATTTAACTATCATAAATTAAACCAAACTATTCCTTATTAATCTTCAGAGTCCCTCAGGAAGAGAAAACAATATGTATAGGATTTTTTCAAAGGCACTTAGTGGATTTTAGACTTTAAAAAATCCTATTATGATTAATTTAATTTTAATTAATGAAAATTAGTTATCCTAAATGGCTTTGAATCTTACACTAAATTGTTTTAAGTTCTGTATTAAAAGATGCTTACAATTTTATAGTAAGATACCCCAAAGTTAATCATAGAAGTAATCTTTTCTGCTTAATTGTAATAAGTATTGTTGTAGTCAGGAGATGTATCTACACATGCATTTACACTGGTTTAGATTTACTGCACAGTAAGTTACTGCTCAGTAAGAGGGAATAGGCTGGCATCTGCACTTGCAGACATTAAAGCATATTAATGCTGTGTGTAGACTGACTTGGGACTAAAGTTACTCCCAAGTCAGTCCACACACACGGTTACCACGCAGTAAGACTTCGAAATTTTACATTAGCCATTCATGTGCATTACTGCACAGTAACTAATCAGGTATAAATTGATACCTGCAGAAAAACAACATGACATTTCTACTACCACTATTATTTGACAGGCAGTGTAGCTACATGTCCCGGGGGTACAAGCATGGGGGCTATGCACCCACAGAGGAGGAACCCTGAAATCAAAGGCTATTTACCCACTTTAGGACTCTGGACTCCAGACGAACAATGCCGAGGGGAGAAACCTGCGCTGTTCATCAGCCACGCTTATATACAGCTGGAGCCGGCAGGTGACATCATGGACAATCGCAGGCTGGCCGAGATAAAAGCCAGCTCCAGCTGGGAGCAGGAGAGAGCAGGAGAGGCAGTGGAGGCTGCGGAGGCTCTCCATGCCGGCGGCAGGCAGCGCCAGCAAGAAAAGGGAAGTCCCAATCAGGAAGGGAAGTCCCAATTGGGAAAGGATGTCCCAGGCAGCAGTGGCTGCAGAAAGCCTCCATGCTGGTTACAGGCAGCACCGGTGTGTGGAAGGAGACTCTGCTTGGTGAAGAGCCGGAGACGGTGGAGGCTCTCCACACTGGGCACTCAGATTGTAGAAGAGCACCAGATTGTAGGAGAGAAACTAACCTAGAGAGGAGTGGAGGAAGCTGTCAACAGAGGTATAGAGCAGAGCAGTGTTGGGGGAGACAGCCAGGCACAGGCTCTAGGGCACAGAGAATAACAAGGCTGTTCAGCCTGATCTCTTTTTTTCCTGTCTGCCTCTTTTTTCTTTGTGTCCTCCCTTTTAGTTTCCTTCTGGCCTGTGCATACTCCTCTGGTGTCATCTATTTTGTTTTTGTTTTATTTATTTTGTTGGTAACCCTACGTCGAGGGGTTCAAGTGACAACTGAACAACAAGGGCCATTCACAAGAATCGGCAGGCAGCTGGCATTAAGCAGGAGAGTCCCGCAGGAGAAGGGAATGACCAATTAACCTGTAGTCCACTAGAAAAGGAAGAAAAAGATCCGATACCAGAGAGCACGCAATGGGTAAGGATCATCAAGACAGGAGGGCAAGCCGCATCAAGATCAGGTGGCCTGTCAGAGGCTGGCATATGGAACGGGTGTAGGGGAAGTGGAGCCCCATGAATATCCATCAGGAGGAACAACCAATCCCGAGGGACTGCCAGTGGGAGACCCCATCACTGAAGGTACATTCAAAGTCATGGCAGGTGAGTTCTGGGGTCCTTCCCGGGGTGATCAAGGCCCCTTAAGAGGTTGCACGAAGCCTCCCCATGCCTATCACCAGGTGCCCGCACCAAGGCAGCGTGTGAACAGATATTCAAAGCAAGGTGGGCACACTACAATACAAATACTTTGCAATAAAGGTCTGAGAACCTCTATAGCTATGATTTAATGCTGCAGTTTAGAGTAGGGATTTCTACTCACTGGCCCAGAAGTTCTCCAGCCCCTGAAGTTAAACTCACTGGTGAAGTTGGTATGGAGAAGTTTAGATTGATGTCAGTCACGTGTGTACTATGCTCAAAGGAAAGCAAGGTACATTTGCTGGATGCTGATGCTAGAGAAATTTAGACATGAAATAAAATACAAATGCCATATTTACTCACATACTACAAACACATCTCTTTTCCAAAAATCCCCCCCCCCCCCAAAGTTGGGGTGCATATTTTAAGTGGGGAAGGCACTTGCAGTGGTATTTCTATTTAGGTAGCTGAGGGAGTCAGTGGACTTAATGACTCATTATATTTCAGTCCACAAGTGTTAATGACCATTTCTCCTTTTAAGTAGTCTTGAAGTTTCACTAATCAAACTAGCCTTTCTTTTGGCAGTGTTGCTATCTATTAGCTACTCCTGGTTTCTTTTTCTTATTTCACAGCCATATAGACTATGTTTAGCTCTTTTCAAAATTGTAGATGCACCCATGAAGACGAGTCTGCGACCATAGCTAAGGCTGCGGCTTTTGTTTAAGCAATTAAGAGATAGTGAGTGAGATGAAGGTTAGGCACTGTCCTTACTCTATGCAGCCATAACTCTAGAAGCATCTTTGTTCGTCATTCTGCTTTTTCAAAAACAAGGTGTGTTTCTTCTTTGGTGGTGTCTGGTATGCAAAAATATGGTAATAAATAGTGAGGTTATTTAACTGTTGGAACAACACACCAATAGATGGGGTGGAGTTGACACCTTGTCAGCCAGGCTTTAAAGGATATAATTTTAAAAGACGTACTTTTATTCTGCTAGAAGTTCTGGGCTTGATGCATGTATCACTTGGTAGAATGTTCTATGTTATGGAAGAGGTTAAATTAAGTGATCATAAAGATCCCTTTTAGCTTCAACATCTATGAATTTATGATTTTCATGTTCTATAGAAAAATACAATGTGTTGATCTGACACCTTTCAAGATCTTTGCATTTATTAACGTTGTATTTCAAAACTTTTATACTGGGTCATTTTCTTAACCAGACCAAAACTTGATCAGAACACTTTCAGCTAAGTGAAATATGTAAAGCCAAAGCACTGTGCAGTGACATATTGATTTCCTCA